CCCCCCCCCCCAACTTAATATTTTTATCTCCCCTTGATGAACCTTTAATACTGCCTGCCTTATCATTGAGCCCCCAAGTTAATCTTAACATTTCTCTATTCTTTTCAACAAGTGCCCCCCCCCCTTTTTTGCTGCTAATTTCCCTTTTTCCAAAAGAATCCTCTCTTCAATCCCTTCCAAGTATTTTACTGTCTCCTCTTCCAACCCCTCCATTGACACCCCCAAAAATCTTCCCAACCCCAATAGTTTGGAGTTCACCCATGAAGAAGGAGATGGGATAGTAGATTTTAAGGGCTTACCTCTCCTATCCATTTCTGACATTAGATTTCCTTCTCCCCTCACCATTGGCGTGGACTCTTCAGCCAGCAAGCTATCCTCAGAAACTGGAATTCAATCCCCACCTTCACWGACCCCTTGTAGCGGCTCAAGTCGATTCTTGGCACCCCCATCATTTAACACCATCGCGATCAGAGCCACCTCCATAACACTTCCTTCCACTAGAGAGACAGAGACTTGCCGCTTAGCCATCAAAGAAGACTTCATAGTCATCGGGGTTAATGAATGACTGTGGACCAAGGAGGAAGAAGTCCCTGTTTCTTTATCTCTTTCTTTTTCTCGACCAACTGTTGTGTGTCTTGGGAGGGGTGGACCAAGATGATTTAAGGATGACCGAATTCCCTATAGCCGTTTTGCAGGATGGCTCAGCCAATTAAGGATGAACAAGATGATTTAAGGTTAACTCAAATTGACCACAGCTTAGCGGTTTAGGTTCACTTACAACTTTAGCACAAATTTCTGATCCAGCCCCAATTTTAGAAGGCGGATCCGGAGTTTTTAGGGTTGGGTTTTGGACTCGTTTCACTGAGACCTCCACCTCCTATGGCCCCACAACTTCCCCCATCTTAGTATTTCTAATCAAACTAGTCTCCCTCTCCCCACCTGATGCCACCTAGAGCTCCACTAAGCAATCCTTAATTAAAATTTTCAACTGCTTGACATTAAGACACAGACCTCCATATTTAAAATTCAAATCTTGAGAAACCATCCCTCCTGACTTTCCCTCTTCCAAGGCACCTTGACCGTCCAAAACTGGACGCATCAGATGGTCCACACAGTCCCTTCCTCCCTCAGTTCCTGCAACCTTCCTGGTGACATTACCCAGCATCGCCACCTCCTCCGACCCCTTCAACACTGACATCGCCAGTGAAGACACCTCTACACCCACCCTGAAAAGAGGACTCTCCCCTTCTTCTACAAGAACCACCATTGTGGAAACTTCACCAGCCACTATCTCCACTCTTTCTTGGACTCTATTCCCCCCTCTCACCTTCATCCGAATCCATTCATAGGTTGTGAGCTTGCTTGGAGAGTCGTCTGTTTCCACAAATCCACCACAAGCATCTCCAATCGCTTGTATTGTGCTTGGACACCAGAGGTAAGACAAATACCCTTATCCACAAAGGTTCAACACTCGCATCCCCTTCGACTCTGGGTAGAAGATACCAACATTTGCTCACCAATCCAAAAGGACACGGTTTCGGCTCCAGAACCAAGGGCTGTTCCTGAGAACCCATTCCGGCTCAAATCTAAAGGAAAAGATGAACAGATCCAAGTCATCTACGATTTTTTTCACCCTAACCCCTCCCACCTCTCACCAGACCCTATTTGCCTAGGCGTCAATCTGTTTCATACCCATACCCTCTAGAAACCGACCTACCAATCAGTTGCACAAAAATTGTCCTCTTGCTTCCACTATTGCCTCCTTGTGTTAATCACCAACTGACCTTCAACTTTTTTTTTATTTTGGTGTGCCCAAACTCTGGCCAGACCCCTGCCGCCGTTGCCTTACTATAAGAAAAGTTCTTCCTAACCCTCATCCCAAAATCTCCCCTATTGTACCAGTTCTCCATTCCCCATCTTCTGGAACTGGATGTCTGGATCGATTTCTTCTCAAAGGGTCACCTCAACATTTTTCACAAAAAGGATAGCTACTTGTTCTCACCTTCACCCCTCAACACCAATGTCACTCACCGCCGTCATTCGCCCCTCATGGTCTTCTAGAACCGGACCAAATTAAAATAGAAAATAGAAGAGAAGAAGAAGATTGAAGATAATGGAAGAGAGAACATTGGAGAAAGAAGATGGAAGAAAAAGGGAAGAAGGAAGAAAGTAATTCGATATAGAGAAACCCTGATTAAAATTTACAATTATCAAGAATTCGATATAGATTAAAATTTACAGTAATTTACAATTATCAAGAAACCCCAATGAGGTAAAGCATCAACTACCTCCCCACCAATTACAATTCAGTCCAAAAAACCTGATTTCTATTTACTCCTTGCTCAGCTAACATATCAGCCATGTCATTTGCTGGCTATCTAACCAACCTGATTCTGATTTCTATTTACCCCTTTGGTGTGGTTGGTAGTCCTAAAATGGAGTGAGTCTCACTAAGACAATCCACAACAATAAGACATTGAAATAGTGGGAAGCTGAAACAGTGCAAACACCAGCCTTCCGGTTTTGCAACCCACAAAGGAGATGACCTTGAACCTCTGCTCTAGGAGGAGGTGGAAGGGTTTTGGGGTCTTTGTGGCTTGAAAAAAGAACAAGAGAAAGGAGGAAACAACGGCAGAAATGCCAAAGAGAAATACTGTTAAAATCAAAACTTGTTCATCACAATCATCTGGGCAACTTTTATAGACGTTGCAACTAAGACAGGATTCAATTTTGGCACCAAAGGCCATAATACAAAACAGGCTAAACAACAAGCAGAAAACTCAATGCACAAGATGAAAGCTGAAAATAGTAATCTGCAATGGCAGAGGGTTGGTGAACTCTGCTTAATGTTTATTAGCTGGAGAGCAAGCTTCGCACTGATGGTAACAGACCGAGTCAATGAGCATTGGAGGGTGAAGACCTCACAAGGCAGATGGAGGAGGCTCATGGCTTAGTCTTGTAGGAGCCTCGCAGATTGGTCTCACAGGCTCAGGTCTTTGGTCCAGAATCTCAACCTCACAGCCTTGTGAGGCAGCAGCCTCGTGGACTTTACGACCTTGCGAGGTTGTTATGCTTTCAGTGAAGTAAGGTTCTACTTTTGCTGATTCCCACGATCTCGCAGCTTCAAGGGATGTAAGCTTTCTGGCCTCACCTATCTCTACCTCGCCTCTTCCTGCCGTGCAGGGCTAAGACTCGTTCCCCTGGGCCTCGTGGCTCGAAGCCTCACCCACCCTTTATGACTAATAAACCAGAAAGCTTGTTTTTTCCTGTTGATTTTTGGGATGGGTAGGTTGGTTATTTGGTGTAACAGGAATTTTACTTTCTATAGGTGATTTCTTGTCACCTTCTCTTAAATTTTTATTTTACTATCAAAAAAACAGTTAAATAATAAGGATGTATGAGGGCATCAAACTCACCACAACATAATTAGTATCTACACCATCACCTTCTAGCTCATCCAATATACCTTTCCCTTGAGCATCATTGGCAACCTGGTGGTGACAAAAAAATAGAGCAGATGTAAGTTTTTTATGACAAAAAGAATGTTAATGAAAGAAACAAGAAGTAAAAAAGAAATGCCCTCAATTGCAAACAATTCAAGAAAAGGAGCTTGGATAAACTCAAAACCAGTTATGTAGGTAACATCCAGTCCCAAACTGCCTTAGTGATGTGACTAGTATAAAAATTGTAGACTTGTAGCAAGCTTTGACAATGCTAGAAGAGTAGCACAAGAGTCCTAGATCAACCCTATCCTGGTCGTAAAAGTAGGAAGCACTAAAGCACTTGTGTCAAGCATTAAAGTGTTAATTTTCCCCATAAATCCATTGGACAAAGAAATCCATAACTGAAATGTTTGTTCATTATATACAATATATTCCAGGCATAAGGGTATCTCAAGCTGCAGATGGTGAAAATACACAAGGTAATCATGAAAAAGCATTTGACATAACAAGAATAACAAGTTGTAATTTTTTACTATATCAAGATTGAATTTCAACCAGTCAAGAAAGTGAACATACTGGTCAAGAAAAGGCAAAGAAAATTAAACAAATGACCTTAGAAATCAGCCTTGGATTCAGACCCAAACGAGCTGCACAAGTTAAAGCATTCCCAGCATTACCACCTCCTTGAACCTGAAAAGAAAGCATCAAGATGAGATTATGGAATATGGACTCTAAATGCATATYTTTTTGAAGATAAATAAAAAATGAAACTTTATTAATGAAAAAGAGAGGATACAATAGGGTGATAAGAAATCACCCAGCAAGAACAAACCCACCCAAAACAAAATTAACCCCTTAAACAGAAAATCAGACCAACAACAAACCAATACACCCTAAGAAATCCAAACCCAGATACAACTGCAAAAGCCACAACAAATATCACAAATACCCCTCCGACCAAACACGAGAAAAGAAAAACAGGAAATTGCAGATCCAGCACCCTTCCAACCCCTGCCAAAAAACACAGAAGAAAACACCTTGATCACCACTGTAGAGTGACAAGCCTTGTGTTCACCTCCTTTGCATCATCATCATCATCTAAGCCTTGTCCCAACTATATGAAGTCTGCTCCGAAAAGACCCATGACCATGAACCTTTGGCAAAAATTTGTGTCAGCTGCCAACCAGACACAACCCTCCTCCTTTATCCAGGATTGGGACCAACAGTGTAAGATATTCTCACACTGGTGGAGTTGTTCACCTCCTTTGCATAATCAATAAAAAGAACAAAAACAAAAGAAAAATAGGAGTGTTTATTTTTGGATCACTCATCTCATTTGAAGCAAGCTTACCTGGTCGCAACAACAAAATGTAAATGGCATGGTGATTAATAGTTTCCTTTCCTACTATTTCCCTAAAGACCACCCCCAAGCTTTTGGATGACAATGCCACAGATTTTAGGTATAAAATATCGTAACTTTCCATGCTCACCCACCAAAAGAAAAGTGTATTTGCAAATGCCTACTTTCATTAATTGGTAATAACCTGCGTTGTTAGTTCACTAGTATTGGGTTTCAAAACCGATTTGCATCTTTCGGTTACTAAGCTTGCAAGAAGCAGGCTCACCTGAGATTGTGTTCACATTGTTCATCAGTAAATATCATAATTACAGTACAGGGTTGTTCCTAATATTGAACAATAAAATTAAAAATTTGTTGAAATTAATCTGGACTGCTGATAACAATTATAAGAGTAACATAAGTAGGCAAGTCAACTTATAAGTACAACAACTCAACCTCTCTACTAGAATTACAAAAGTCAACAGTTCCTGTGGTTCAGAATTTTTATCAGTATAACTGATTCTTTATCGATGTAAAACCCTCAATACTCATGGATAAGGACATGAGAACCAGTATAAAGAAACAACAAAGCTGAAAAGGTCTGTTATATACTAACTTTCCACCTTTTATACAAATCAAACCCCAGGCCTAGAGCCCCCCAAACCATCTTGTTCTTATACTCCTGCCTTTGCCAAGGAATCAGAAAAGCCATTGGCATATCTAGGGATCCAATTGAACGAGCCGTTCATACGGTATCCCAAATTGCCAATGCCTTTGCCTCCCTAATTAAGCATTTAAGAGCTCCCCAAGGGCCAATAGCAATTGATGTGAGCCAAGACGACACGACCTGACAGTCTCCTTCCACAATCAGGTTGAGGCAATTGGAGGAGCATGCCAACCTTAGACCTTGAAGGAGAGATCCAATGATTCAGTTGAGTCTAACTAAAGTTATTTCGTGACACAGTAACTCACACAAAAGGAATAGGTACTGAACCAAGCACGCAATTTGACGGTAACAAATGATAACCATCTCCATATGGAAATAACAACTATATTATCCTGAATAAGCTCGAGTTAATTTTCCACAATGATTGCTGTTTCAGAAATTTGAGGCAATTTCTGGCCTCTGAGAACAAAACATGACCATTATTTTAGCTAACAGGAGGGTTTGGTTGGGCAAACCAATGGTTAACACAGCGTACTTTAGGATACATGCGTTTATAATCTTTTACCTTGGAGCTTGTACTCCGAATCTTTTCGTCAGGCTTAGGATAAGCAGCAACTGTCACCAAGAAATCCAGACCAGTGCCACCGAGACCCAACTGCCAAGAAGAGGACCGTTTGCTAAGATGCGCCTCTGGAACTGCATTCTATTGGTATACGGTGGCATTCCACAAGTTAAGAGAGGCAAATGGGGTTAAGGTTGAGAAAACATACTATAATGCGACTCTCCGGGAGAGGAGGAAGTGAAGGCGAGACCACAGCTGAAGCCCGAGACTTTGGAGACGACGTTCTCGTCCTGAAACTACGTCCAAAGGTGGTGAGATGGCTAGAAATGCAATCATAAGCGTTCTGCACGTTAGAGAAGAATACCTGGTTGAGCAGGCGGAGGGGAAGCTCGATTGCGAAGAAGCGTGAGAGAAGGATGGGAGAGAACGGAGATCAAACGGACGTTCTAAGCGCGAGGGGTTGGGGATTACAGACATTGACTTCGTAAGCTCCGAGCTTGACTCATCCAACGACAAGAGAGGAGAGATTGGAGCAGAGAGACGACCCAGAGATCGCTGTTCCTCTTTCGTCGTAGACGAGTCAGCTGCGGGTTCCATGATCAATCGGATGCTCTGTACTCTGCCCCACGCTAACTGGGGATCTCTCTGCTAACAGCTAACGTACTGAGTACTGACAACTCTCAGTGAATTCACATTGCATTGATCTATTTTAACTCTTTTGACAAACAGACTGGCCTTCTGACTCACTAACTCAGTTCCGAGTCACACGGATCGGTAATCAACTCGGTTCTAAGTTCTAAATTGAGGTGTGCGCAAGACCAAGTGGCGTACATTAGAACATCCACATCTATTTCTTACCTTCGATCTGTACTCCGGATCTTGTCATCCGGATTGGGATAAGAAGCGACAGTCGCCAAGAAATCCACAGAAACAGCACGGCATCCTAGCTGCTAAGATACACCGTAGTTCAGAAAAACGGAAGAAGAACACAAGACTATAATACGCATATAATGCAGAGTGTTCGAAAGAAGGCGTTACCACGACGCGATTCTCCGGAAGAGGAGGAAGGGAAGGCGGCATTTCAGTTGAAGCCCGAATCGACGACGATGACATGTTCCGTCTGCAATAATTTTCAGAGAGAGAGAAAAGGGAAACAGAAAATTTAGAGTTGAATTCAGGGAGGGGAAATGGCGGAGAAGTAACACAAGAAGCGTATTAGACGAGAAAAGCACCTGATTGAGTAGGCTACTATTGAGGGCGGAGAGAAGGAGGAACCCCGAAGTGAAGCAGGAGACGAAGATGAGGTGGGGAGAGAATGGATGCCATTGGCGAAATTGGAGAGTGACATCAGGAGAGTGGTGCAGTGGAAATGGAGAGAGAGAGAGAGAGAGAGAGAGAGAGAGAAGGAGAGGGAGAGAGGGACGGAGGGACGGAGGGAGAGAAGAGAGAGGATTAAAAGAGGTTGGTAACGCTGCACCGTAGTAGGATTGTGATAGATTCACAATTTCGCATGCTGTGACTGTGAGCGTTTGACTCGCACGAGTTAACTCGTTGAAACGTTCCAGGTAGGGGTGAGGAAATGGGTATGTTTTACCCGCAAGTTGCAACCACCGAATGTAACTGACCTGAATCAGTCTTGAATCGAATCTATTAACCTCTTATACGGTAGATCTGGTTCTTAAGTTTTGGAATTACCCCTATATTCGGGGTTTGGGGGTTTATTCTACCCAAACCACATTGCTTTGGTTGGCCTTGTTGGAATCAGCCTTGAAATCTAATTTGTCTTCAAATAAACTTTAAAATACTTTAGAAAATGTGCAAATTTGAAATTAAAGCAATCATCGTTAGAAARTATATAGTCTAACTTGACCATTGAATTATTCAATTTGAATATCTATAATAAGTAATGTAAATAATAATATTTACAAAATTTAAATTATAATAAGTTTTGAATTATATATTAATATATTATTATAATTTATATATTAAATTACTCAGTTTAATCATAAAGATAATATAAGTTTTAAACTATATATTATATTTATTGGAAATCAAATTTTTAAAAAACATGTTTCATTTTTTAAAGAAGCAGAGTAAAGAAAAAGCAAATTCCATGAATACATCCTAGAATTAACCAACACTGAAACCGTCAAGGCCAAAACCGACCTTCACTAGGTAGGTTTTGATTCCAAAATCTTGGAGACCAACCCCTATAGAGTATAGGTTCCAGGTTCTATTGTAKAACACCAAACCAACCCATGCTCACCCCTAATTACAAGACTTAGAGTTTTTAATGGATGGGAAGGAATCCAATTCTAAATTTGGTTCATTAAATTGGCAATTCAAAATTTCGAATCAAATATTATCATGGCAGTTTTTTTATAAACAAATATTATCTTGGTAGTCTGTTACTTACATTGGCTTCACGTCCAGCTCTGTTTTTTAAACAATCCATTTATACCACCTTGGCATAGAGTTCGGATCTCCTAAAAAAACTTCAAACATGATCTGTTTTCTCACATCTCATTCATGGTGAAAATGTGCACATCTCAGATACTCATCTTCTAAAAACTTAAAGCTAACGGTGAGGTTCTTAAATAGGTTTTGTTTTTTAACAAAACCTAAAAGCATTAAACCATTAAACCTAAAAGCATAAGCTTTTTAGTGTGGTCCCTATGTAGGTTTTTATTCTCTATCAAAATGCTATACTTTTTATTAAAAAATATTGCAATTACAACATGACAATCCTAAGTAGTTTTTTTTTTTCATTCCAAAGTCTACTATTTCATAACAAACACATTTTATTGTTCTTGTTGCATGTTGTTTCTAATGAAGGAGGACCAATTTCAATTGGATGAAATATTTTTCCAATCTACTTGATTGGATTGAGGGGTGGTGATATTTCAAAATTTCTTTATATCTAAAGGGATTTAATTCCAATTATCCTTAATTTTAGGTGATGTTTGGCATCGATATCGATTTTTTAAAAATCGGCACCACGACAAAGCCACATGGGATAAAGAAGAGTCGGTGATTTTCAATCTGTTTGATTTGTTGGTTTTCGCAAATTTTGGGAAATTGGCAGAAAAACAATTCTTGAAATTGGACCCATCTTGAGGGATCACCATTTTCGGTGATATCTCAATTTTTAGGTGATTCCAATTTTTGAAGGATGACATGGCATCCCACATCTCTCCAAGAAAAGGATGATTTCAATGAAAAAATAATCACCCTTGAAAATCAGTACCAAACAAGCTGCTAAAATGGCATAAATGATACCAAACAATAATTTTTTGGTGATTTTTCAAAAATCACCAATTCCTGATTTTTGGATAATCGGCAAGGAGGAACCACCTTAATTTTTGCTTTTAATAAGGCCACATTGCCCAATGTTGGTCAGCCCAACTATGTGGGGTATTGGGAGAGGTAGATTAGATACGGTCCTAACCTTTTGGCATGTTTTTTTTTTCGTCCATATCTCCTCCCAAAGAAATAAAAGCCATCCCAGCACATTACAAAATGATCAATGTGCACACATCTTATGCATGGGTTCCCAGTCCTATGATGAAATGCATCATGTTAGAACTGTATTAGGACAGTTTTTATTGGGAGGAGATTTCAATTATTTATTTTTTTTATTTATTTTGCACAAAGTGACTGCTCTCAAACTGGAACATGTGTTCTCTAGCCCGAGATTTTCTCCCCTATCAAAAAAAAAAAAAAAAGAAAAAATTTCCTCTATCACCACTAAATCACTAATCAATATCAGCCCTATAGTTATATCCATGTTGTATTCAAGTTGAGCATTGGTAGAAAAAGTTTTAAATTTTTGGAAATTTTAGAATACTGAAGTATCGCAGTAGACTAACCACTATAGTTTTTTTTTTGGTAATTCCATCAGGAAGATTAGAAGACAAAAATAGAACAAACAAACTATTAATAAAAAAAAAAAAATACAACACACAAAGACGAATCAACCTAAGGAGAAACAAACACTAGGGTAGCTTCCACAAAGCCACATTTGAAAATTCAGAATCTTCTTTCATCTGAGTGACTAATCATCCCGGAGGACTAGTCCACCTGTGCTTCCAGCCTTGCCTGCCTTTCTTCGCCAACTCATGAGCAACAGTATTCCCTGATCTGTTAATAAACCTGAAAGCCAATTGAACATCTTCTATAGCATACAAATCTTGTAACAGAGGCCACAATTGAGGGTCACACTCAAAAGATTTCTGGCTTAACATGTTAATTAGAGCTGCAGAATCACAGTTTATACTTAACCTAGTAACACCTAGAGTTTTTGCAACCAAAAAGCATTCCACAATAATAGAGATTTCTGAAAATTCAGCTGACACTGAATTACAAACACCACAACCAGCTAACAAAAAGGACTCGGACTCGCTTAAAATCCAAAAACCATAACCCCCTGAACCATTTCTGCAAAAATTTCCACCAGTTCTTGCTAAGCACCAATCCGACCCAATATTTTCCTTTTCAGTATCTGCAGAGCCAACAACTTTAGCCTATAAAGAATCTGTTGATTCTTGATGGGAAGCTCTCCACATTTCCTTCATCATCTTGTTTGCAAGGAAAAGAGTTAAATAAGGATTAGGCTGAGTAGATTCATAAACCGACTTGTTTCTTGCAATCCAAATATTCCATATAATGATAGTAGAAACATCTATGATATGGTTTTGATATAAAGCATCTTGACATTTTTGATTTACCCACCACTTCCACAATCTTGCATGGTCACAAACAAAGAGAGCATGCAAAATACTTTCTTCCTCCCCCCACAAATCAGGCATAAAGAATCCCCTTTTATGTTTCTTTTTGCTAGAATTTGGCTCACTATAATACTATTGTGGCAACACTTCCCAATGAAGTGTTTAATCTTTGGGGGGACCTTTGAATCCCAAATCTTCTTCCATGACTTAGGGTCCAGCTCATCTTGACTTGCATTGCTCAGATGGTTTTCCTGCAGAGTTATAGTTAAGTAGTATGCAGACTTTACTGAGAATTTCCCTTTGCTGTCCAGGGTCCAAATCAACTTATTTTCCCCTCCAAATCTAGGCAAAACTATGCTGGTTATGTGATTTACCATGTCTTGGTTAAATAAACTTTGCAATTTTTTAACATTCTAACTGTTATTCTGAGGTTCAATTAAGTCACTCACCAATTCAGCATTTTCAGTTCTGGGTCTTGGACCCATAGGCTTAAAATTTGGGACTCCCATAATCCACGTGTCATCCCAAATCTGAAGATTTTCCCCATTCCCGATGGACCAACAAGCCCCTCTTTCAAAATGTCTCTTCCATCTAAAAGGCTTCTGAAACCCCAAGAACAATTTTTTGGAACTTGAACTCCCCAAAAACTTGTCCTTCTCAGATATCTCTACCTTGCACTATTTGCACCGGATCTCTAAATCCTAAACCTCCCAAGGACTTGCCCTTACAAATCTTTTCCCATCTGATCCAATTTATTTTCTTTTGATTTTTTGATTCTCCCCACATGAATTGTCTTTGCAAGTTTCCTAGCCGAGTGTTGATATCTTTTGGAATCAGGAAACAGGACATAGCATAGGAGGAGATAGCAGTCAGAACTGCTTTAATCAATACTTTTCTTGTAGGGGAGAGAAAAGAAGCCTTCCACCCATTTTGTTTTCCCAGAAACTTGAAAATACTTTTTTTATCTACCATACACTTGGGGGAGCCCTAAATACTTGGATGGGTGACTGACTTTCTTGGTACCCATYAGTCTTGTCAAAGTTTTTGGAAACTTTTCATGAAGAGTTGGGGAGAAATAAATTTCAGATTTGAAAAATTCACCATTTGCCCTAAAGCTCTCCCATACTGCTCAAGGATCTCCATAATTACTCCTGCAATATTGGCTTTGGTGAAAATGTAGTCATCTACAAAAAACAAATGGGTGACACTAAGGCTATTGTCATTAACTCTTATTCCTGAGATAGCTCCTTCCAAATAGGCTTTCTTAACGGCTAGGGAGAGGACTTCAAATACTATTAAGAACATATATGGGGATAGAGAATCTCCTTGTCTGAGCCCTCTGGTAGGCTTGAATGTACTGCTTGGGCTCCCATTTATCAGTAGTTGGAAAGAGGTATATGATATGCAAGCCATTATCCAATTTATGAAAATTTCCCCGAATCCTAGTTTTTCCATAGCCTTTTAATGAAAATCCATTCTACTCTGTCATATGCCTTGTTCATATCTAGTTTTACTACTATAAACTTTTGTTTTGATTTTGATGTTTTCATGAAATGAATTAATTCATGTGAGACCAAAACATTATCAAAGATCATTCTTCCCGACACAAAAGCAGTCTAATTTTGGCTAACTACTTTGGTAGAATGGTTTTCAGTCTATTCACTAAAACCTTAGCTATGGTTTTATAAATTGTGTTGGACAAACTGATTGGTTTAAAATGTGTTGCATCCTCTAAGTTTCTGCATTTTGGGATCAGAGCAATGTATGTTTTATTGATTTCTTCATGAAGCACCCCTTATGCAACTAGGACTAGCCGCAATAGTAGGACTATAGGTTATGCAGTTGTTTGGTTAATAGCATGTACCTAAGGAAAAC